CTTGAGACTCAAGTGAATTTCAGGAGGAGCACACAGGGTTAATAAAAACATCAGATCTCCTTTACATTAGCAACATAGTTAGATTGGCTGATGTAGCTCCAGTGAAGTGCTCTCTGCTAGAGCAGTGTTTCCCAACCTTTTTTGATCCACGGTACACTTATCTAAATAAAAATACACCACAGTATACCAGATGTGGAGTGGGGGTGGGGGAGAGGCACTCAGCCAGCTGGACACCAACAGGGGGTGGCACGTGTATACAGCATTAGCAAGTGGGGGGCCTGGCTCCAGCTAGGTTGGGCCTTGGCTCTGGCCCAAAATGCCATCTGGCTGGCAGCGTGGCACCCCCCCACAGTCGGTGTCTGGCTGGGGGGGAGTGCCACGTCTCCGTCCCTCCCGCTCTGCTCCATGTCCAGAATGCTGCAGCACACCTGGACGTGCCTGACAGCACACCAGTTGGGAAATGCTGTGCTAGAGCCTGACATGGAGAAGAGAAGCTTTCCTCTGGTCCAGCTGTCTGATGTATCTGCAAGAGAAACACATGCTGTCTCCCCTCCCTAAAAGCACCTTTCAATAATTCCCAGACACAGCCCCTGGCACTGATAACTTAAACAACCCTTGGTTTATAACACACACAGCCCCAGGCTGTTTTCTCAGCTAACTCTCCCCAGAGCCTTCCCAGACTGACATCCTGCCCTCCTAGGCATGTCTCCCTTACAACCCTTTTCCTCTCCACAGGTCCCGCTGCCTCAGAGGGGGAAAGAATACTAAAAAGTTCTTCTCCCCATCACTGATCACAGCTTGTATTCACAGCATTAGTGATGCATAGGGAGTGCACGTGGGTACACATGCACCCCCTGAGATTGGCGGTGAACCCCCTGAAAAAAGTGCTGCCAATGCTGCTGGTGGTGCCTACAGGCAGTCACCACTCGCCTCCCACCCTCCCGTGCTGCCAGCACTGCTGGTGGCATCTGCAGGCGGTCACCTGCAGAAGCTCACTGCTTGCCGCCACTACAGTGCTGCTGCCACTTGCGGGAGCTCGCCATGCCCCGCCAGCCTCTGGAGGCATGCGGCATTCATGATTCACAGAACAGCAACAGCAGGCTCAGTGTGGTCCCCTGCCTTCAGTCCCTCTCCCCCCTCTAAACCTGGCTGTGTCCTGGAGCTGAGTTTCCTCCCCTCACCTGCCTCAGGAGCCAATCAAAATCATGCATATGCCTTGCAAAACACTGTGGCTGCAAACTTTCCTACTCTGCCTTTGCAGGGATATTTAGCCCTGCTGCAAATCCAGCAGCAGCTGTTACATTAGCAAATACATTTTAAAAATGACAGGCCAGAATCACTGCCATGTTGATAAGAGGGATGGGGTCTTATTGCAAGCAGCTTGAGGCTTTTCTGAACTTTTTTGCCTGCCAAACTGGATTCCGGTTGTACTCACGGTCAGGGGCAAGGTAGGGGCTATTTTTACTTCTAATTAAAGCATGGAGTACTGATCAGTTGCAGCTGAGGAGTCAGCCTCAGATACCAAAATCAAATAATACAATTATTAAAACAAAATAAAAGGATTTTATATAAATCTAGTGCTTCAGTTAGGTAACACAGGGAAATTGTGAATGAAACTTCCAACACATAAGCAACTCATAGAAGTTAACTAAATATATTTGCAAAGTATTTATGGTATTTATAGAGTGAGTATTAAAATCCTAATGGGTTCCCAAGCTTCTTTTGTAGGGGCTCAGTCAATGATCCAAGATCAATGAAATCTTGCCACAGATTTTGATGGATGTCAAATCAGGTCCTTGACCTCAGTTAGGTAAATATCTAGTATCTCTTTAATTTTACACCATATTATTTCTTCCAAAGAGACCCTTCTCTTGCTAACTATGTGAAGTTTTCCTTAGGAATGCTCCAGTGCTCACTCTCAGGATGCAGACAGATGTGAAGCTCCCTGCTGTAACTGGCAATGCTTTGCAGGAAGTGTTCTGAGTCACAACAATCCCCCGGACCAAACAGAAGTTCACTGTTGGTTGCAGGAGGGAGGGGAATCTAGCTGTTGGCTATGAGCCTGCAGCCGGTTTCCCCTAGCACTGGCCCTTCGTCTCTGCCAGGTCCATGCCAGCCCGGGCTGTTTTCCAAATGGGAGGGAGGAAAGGAGAGAAGGAGCTTGTTCTAAGGGTTCCCCAGCCAGTACCGAAGGGTGGGGTGGGTGGATTGAAGCCTCGCCCCCCACCTCAGGGGGTTTCTAATATATCTGCCCCACCCTCCAGTGAAGGCTGAACCCCCCAGACCAAACTCCCTCCACTCCCTTTCCCCCTCCCATTCTGAAAACAGTGACAGGTAAGGAGGCAGCGCAGACAAAAATTACTAAAGATGCTATGTTTTGAAATGTCTTCATGCAAGGAGGGTTCTGTTTTTTGCAGGATTATGCCCTTTTAAAGTGCTTTGCAGCCACACTTCTGTTCGGTCAAGGCTGTAGACTACTTTCAGGGGCCAGTCAGGCAAAAACTGTCACCTCTATCTGTGCCTTCAGAGCCAGCCAACACAGTTCTTAATGCAGGTTTTACGTTTCTACATTCATGCCAGCATTATAGTAGCATCAAAGTTATCAAGTGGATCCTTTGTTTGTTAGGAACACTATACTATGAAAAAAAATGCAGTTAATGCTAATCCACCTCTAGCATTTTTGTTCTTGTTACTTTGTCAGAAAAATAAAGTGCCACCTTTTTCAGTCTTGTAGAGAACATAACAATACTTCTAGAATATATCCCACTTAAGACTTTGATCTTTACAATACTGAATTTTGTCATGTAACTGTGTATCTACAGCTGTTATCTCGTGGTTATAGCCTCATTTTTCCACAGTGAGGTGGGACAGTCAGAGCAAACACAAAATAGTAGCAGTAGTAGTAGTAATACTTAAAAATTAAAATTCAAGCCTAATTCTTTTGTGTTTCAAAAACATATTGATCATTAAGAGAATCAGTTAGAGACTGTACAAGTCTCACATTCTCCATCTATGTGAATCAAATTTAAAATAAAAACCTGAACATCTAATTCTCCCATGCTTAAGACTTTAAAGAAAAAACATCTAATATTATAAAAGCCTTAATCTGTCTGACTGTCTGTCCGTCTGTCTGTCCATAATGCTGTATTTGCACTCTGTTTGGCTAACTGAGACAGCCAATCAGACTGTGAATACAGCACTGGGACAGGAGGTGGGGGCACAGTGGAGCACTGCCATGATGGTGGGGACACGGGATGGAGCGGTGGGGGGGTGCAGCACAGCTGGCCTCACCGCCCCCGCACCTTGCTCCCTGGAGGCAGCAGCAATGGAGCAGACAGAATCGGGGGGGTGAGGCCAGCAGCACCCTGTAGGTAGCGATGATGGAGTGGAGCAGGGGAGCGTGGCCACCAGAGCTGGCCTCGACCCCTGCCCTTGCTCCTTGGAGGTGGTGGCGGTGCCACGGAGGGAGAGCAGGGTTAGGGTGCCACGGGGGGTGAGGCCACTGGTGGCCCTCCCCCCTTCCATTGTTGCTGCCTTCAGGGCCAACGTGGGCCGATATGGTGGTGGTGGGGGGAGGAGCAGGGTGGGGAAGGAGTGGTGGTGGCGGTGCAGGGAGGGAGTAGTGGGCCCAGCCTGATGTGGCAGCAGCAGGGGGAGGGAAGGAGCGGGCCTTCTCCTCCCTTGGGCTTGGGCCCACTCCTCCCCAACCCCCCATCTCCCACATTGGCCCTGAGCCCACTGTTCCTGTCCCGCCATCGCCACTGTGTCAGCCAGGGCCCGCTGCTCCCCATCCCCACACTGCCGTGGTGAGCCGGCTTCTCCTCACCCTTGGGCCTGGTTCTCTCCTACACCCCCCGCATTGGGCTCTGGCCTGTTCCTCTCCTCCCTCCGCCTCTGTGGCAGGGAAGGTGGGAACGGGGTCAGACCCTAAGCACCAGGAAGGAAGGGGGGAGCTCTGTCCTTGCCGATCCCTCCCCCGCATCATTCTTGACAGGCAATTGGCTAGTATATTATAAAACAAGAACCAAATTCCTTATTCAAGTAATTGAATTCTGATCTAGTGTTCCTTTTTGGATGGAACTACCTCTGGCTAACTCCTAAACAAACAGCAAATAATATAAACCATCTTTATCTTCTACGTCATCTCAGTTGTGGCAGTGAGTCTGGATGACTATATACAAAAAATTTATTTCCAAGGAGCAGCCTTTCAATACATTAATAAAAAATGAAGTGACCAGTAAAGTGTCCCATTATTGCTCCTCTTCCTTTTTCCCCATTTCCCATGCAATGACCCTTTTAAACAGTCATTGAATAGAGACATGCATTCTTAACTTCAAACATTGTCATGGTAAGTGTCTTCTCTCTCCTTACAGGGAATCGTACCTGGGGATGGAGGGAAAAGAGAATAGTCCACCATTGTGTTTAGTTTTTTGTGTTTTTATCTTTTCAGCTAGTTTCCCACTTGACTCATTGGAAAGAAACTTCTGATTGAAGAGTATGAAGTGAAAAACCTATCAGATCAAGTGAAAACACATTACCTGAGAGATGAACAAAACATTTCAGGAAGACTTTTGGTTTCAGGGGCTGTTCTTGTCTTGCAAAAAGTAAATGCAGGTTCCAGTATTCATACCCAACATTATAAGAGATAAAAGCCCAATGCTAATGGTTACACTGAACAGTTTAGACAAGTTTAAGGGTTAATCACCCTTATCTACTATGACTTAAAAAGTAGTTACTCACAGTGTGATTCAGCTTAAAACCCAATTTAAAAGTGACATAAGAATCATAAAATCAGGACATGCTGAGGTGGTTTCAAAGAAGCTGAGTTTTTAGAGGTTCTAAATCTGGTAGCAGGTATCTGATATTTTCTAGCTATTTTTATTAAATATGCACCTTGTAGAATAGCTTCTTTAATGCTAGACTTCTAAAGCATTACTGTATCAACTTAGGAAGAATATTAAAGAAAAATAGTTCAGAATTAAGTATTTTAGGTACCTCACCTCATATAAGGGAACTTGGTCCTTGGTTACAGCAAAAACTAATAAGACGTTGTTTTGCACAAGCTTGTCTATAAGTTGTCCAATTGTTGGATACTCCTGAAAACAAAATACAAAGAGTGTCAAATAAAGGCTTTTTTTTAATAAAAAGGTGAAGCAGGTAAGAGATAATGATTAAAATAATATCCTATCATATTATCTGCAATGAAAATCACATTCAGTGTATTATTTCTATTATATTTAATACCGTATGCTCACTGTAATAGAAATGTTATTATAAACTACATGCAAACACAGTAAATGTGTACGTGTGAGACTTTCTGCTTGTGCTCACATTCTTACAAAGAACTGAATGACTTCACTTGTATGATATTTTAAAACCCCTTCAGTCTGAAGTCAGAAAGCTTCTAGAATACACGCCTTTAGAATTCGCTTGAAATATTTTAGTTCCCTTAAGCATGTGTTTCTTACATTCCAAGATTCTAACATTTTGAGACAAGAGCAGTGTCTACCTTTGTGTTTGTATAACACCTGGCACTTCAGGTCCTGACTGGGGCCCCTGGGACCTACTACAGAATTATAATGAATAGTTAGTATTATTTTTATATTCTGCAATTTTTGTTTCAAAAGTTTTCCTGACCTCTGTGGTTTCCTACAAATTCCTAAAATGCTCCTTAATTCCCTCCCTTTAAGAAAATGTGATTAATGCATATTTGCTCTTCCCCTCAGGGAAGAATACCTGTAGATCCTGTTCTCACTTGTGGCAGCTCTCTGTCATAATGTATTTATTAAGTTTTGTTCTGATTTTATGAAAAGCTGTAATGACTGGATTTCCTGGCTCCTAATATATATCACTGATCAAGTATACACTGGCCTTAGAGTGGCAAACCATCTCTCCTCTGCTTTAAAATTCCACTCTGAGAATTGTTTGAAAAATGGAGTGAATTACCAAAACTGTTGACATGGAGTATTCATTGTTGTGGTCCAAGTGACAATTTCCATCATTTGGAATAACAATTCCAGCCAGTTTACTGTCCATTCCAAAATGGGAATCAGCATCACTCACAAAAACTAGTAGATGTAAAGAGTCATTCCTCCACCCAATTTGCTCCTGTAATTAGAATGCAATGATTCAGTATAGGCTTTGATCATACTGACAAGATATGATGTTGGATAAAGATGGTAAAGGGCTTGGGGACACATCTTTCAAAGAGATCTTTAAATGCAGGGGCAAGGGGGAGGGAACGATTGGGGCTGGGGCTGGGACAAGTTGCCCAGCTGGGGCATGTTACTCGGAGGGGGGAAGGGGGTGTGGGATGCGGGCGCAGCAGCACTTGGAGTGGGGACTCTGCCCTGCTTCTGCTTGCCCAGCCAAGGTGGGGGCGGGGGGCGGGATGCAGATGTGGCTCACTCCAGGAGGAAGGGGGCAAGCAGAAGCAGGGCATAGCCCCTGCTCCCAGTGCTGCCATACCTGCATCCTGCACCCTCCCATGCCAGTCTGTAAGTGGCGGCAGAGCAGAGCCCCCACTCCCAGCACTGATGCTGGCACATCCCCCCCACTGGGGAAGAGGCAGGCAAAGCCAGAGGAGCTGCAGGAGAAGTCCCCAAGGCTGCCCTACCCAGCCCCATCCCCTGCCTGGCCTAGCCTCCTGGTACTTACCAAAAAAAAAAAAAAAAGCCCCGTACTCACTGGCTCTGGTAGCGATGATCAGGGCCTCTGAGGGCTTGTGGCAGAGTCCCTTCGCACAGTGCAGGGCAGTGGGGATCATCCCCCCCAGCTTGGTACTAGCATGGCAGCTGCCCCAGAGCATGGGTGCAGCATGGCTTGGCAGTGCCCCAGTGAACTCAGCTCCCAGACAGTGCGCAGCACCCTGCAGAGCCACACTGCACCCATGTGATGCAACAGCTGCCATGCAGCTGCCCTCCACTGCCCCGCGCTGTGTGGGGGAGCTCTGCCATGAGTTCCCAGAGGCCTCAATTACTGCTGCTGCAGCTGGTGAGTATGGAGCTTTTTTTTTTTAAAGTGCTGGGACTAGGCTGGGGCCGGGCAGGGATAGGGCTGGGCAGGGAAGTCATGGGGACTTCTCCCTTGGCTCTCCCTGCCTGGGGAGAGGCAGGCACAGATGGAGGAGCTGTGGAAGAACCTGCAGCTGCCTGGCTGTGCCTGCCTCTCCCTGGCTGATCCAAATCTCTGAATCAGTGCCGAATTTCTGATTTTGATTCAGCTGAATCGAATGGGGACAGTGATTCGAATCACCGAATCGAATCACTGTCCTCCAGATCGGCCGAATCCAAATCTAAATCGAAAACTTCTCTATTTGCACAGGCCTAAATGTGAAACGGATGAATAGATAATCAAAAATAAATTAAAGAATAACACCTGAGAAAACATAGTGATGTAGTTCTTCTTCATACACACCCAGTTATTACATGGTCAATGTTTTCAATCAATGGAAAATACAAAACCACCATATTTCAGTGTGTATGGATAAACTGATATATTCTAATAAAAAAAGATAATTTGAATGTGCCTTTAGAGTTTAATCAGTCTCTCACTGAAATCAGTGAGTGTCCTTCCATTGACTTCGGTGGAATCGAGTCTGCAATTTTATAAAAATAATTTTAGAAAAGAAAAGCCACTCATTTTTTTAATGCCATGATAAGCATGAATATTAAACTATGGAATAATATATAATACACTTAAAGGTGTTATTACCTTGCAAACAGCTGCCTGCATAACTGCATCAAAACCTCCCTCTGGAGCATCTATATTAGCAGAGATTTTCTGTTCTTTCACAATTTCATTGAATCTTTGGGCATTACTTGTTAATGGCAAAACATGTTTGTATCCAAAGGTGGGTAAACAATCACGTGGAACACTCCTAAAAATATATATGATAGATATCTATGTATTCAGAGATAGAACACACCCACTTTACACCTGTGTCCTGTGATGAGGGCATGACTAATGCAGCCTGGTTTTGGGAGAATAGTGATTGATGTTAAGAGAGAGTTAAGTAATGTGAGTGTTATAAATATACTGAATCTGTTAATTTTGAGCATTTTGAGTGTGGAAGAGACTAAGTAGTTGTCACATGAATAATCTATGTGTTTTTTTAAAATAGGTCTCTAATTTGCTTGAAAGTATATCTATATACTTAGTCATTAATCCATCAAACACATGCAACTAATAGGAAAATCTAAACAGAGAGAAAAAAAGGAGAACAATCCCTTCTCCCAGCAACTTAGTATGTATAGGAAAATGACCAAAGTTCAAATCTACTGAAGTGCAAATCTTGCTTACATTATTTGCTCAATTGCAAACTGATAAAACAATCCAGTGAGCATGGGTTTTGATCACAAATATCATATTACATGTGTTCCTACACTGTCATACATAACACACTGGATGTAGGTGCTTTCTCTGCTTACCTGCAAGGATTTTTTATTTCTTCAGTAGTGGCTTTGATGAATGGTGAAACTGGTTTTTCAACAAAAGACCCAAAGCCCAGTCTGAAGTTACTTGTCAGTTTTGACATTTCTTTGGAAAGGGTTGAACCTAATTCCTTTATAGTGTTCAAATCATCATCCATGGAAGCTGAAAGGTCCATGAGGTAATAGAGATCAACTGGATAATCTTCAGTCTGGCGAACTTTGATCTGTATTGTTTCTTCATGTCCTAGGAAAGTCAAGGGGAAATGTGGAACAAATTAACACATCTAACTTTAGATAAATTATGGGCCAATGGTGTCTGGTTATTCTTAGTGCTACTGTACATGGTGAAAATGTTTTCACTTTTTAAAGGCATCAGTAAAATTAACAAAAGCACTGTGTAAAATTATCTGTCAATAAAAATGCCAAACAATATTTAAAAGAATTTAAGAATGTACCTTCTTATTGCAGGGATTTAGGTTGTAGCCGTATTGGTCTAAGGACATAGGCAGACAAGGTTCCTTGGGTGAATTTGATATCTTTTATTATTTTATTTGGGTTGGTCTAATAAAAGATATCAAATTCACCCAAGGAACCTTGTCTGCCTTCTTATTGCATAGCTTCTTGTTGTATAACTCTTGAATAAAGGAATAGCATTAGGTTTTAGAACTCTCTGACTTCCGGCTCTAGAATATTATAACCATCAGACTATAACTGCAGCTTCAGAACTTCTAACTATGAAATTACAACTAAGTTGAAGCCAGAACTTCACATTAGGAGAGAGCATGTGGTTTAGTGATCTGAGCAAGTGACTGAGACATGTGGTTTCTGTTTCCACCACTAACATATCTGATGGGTGCTCTGTGTTACATAAACCTCTCCACATCTCTTTTTCTGGAAGACAAATTCTGATTCTTGATGCACATCTGCAGTACATGACTGTCTTGTAGAACACTTCAAACTTCTCAGATAATAAATAGAAGGCAGATTCTTTACTGCAACTGAGATCAAGGTGCAGGGAGATCCAATTTTCTGCTTAGCAATACCCTGGCCCTGGGACTGACTCCCAGTTATGGTGTGGCCAATCCCCCTCCATTTCTACATTTAATACATAGTATGCATCAGGGCTGCTGAAGGGATGACCTAGAAACTAGCTTTGCTAGCTCTCCATTGGGGAACTGTTGATGGTTTCTATTTCATTTCTGCTACCTTAACAGGATAAAGAAAACCAGGAGATAGAAAATATCTTCCCTTTCATAATTGTTAAATACTTTTGATATATTTAAACAGTGCAAATTCTAGATTAACCCAAGAATTAATACCTGTTGCATTCTCCCACTGCTACAAGATTTTATTTGATTGCAGCTAATCAGAAGCTAGAATCAACAAGAAAGGGTCATATATATACACTGAGTAACTTACCTGGTCGCAATCTAAGGGTTAACTTTTGAGGAGAAATCTGTGTGATGTCAGAGTTATTTTTCTGGATTCCTACACTAAGAGGCTTGTTTCTATGAATTTCTACTTTAGAAATGGGAAATTCAATGAAATTCAACTGACATCCTTTTGACAGAAGATTTTCTGGACTATCACACCTTCCAGCAATCCCAGAGGAGTCAGTATAATTCTAAAACAAATAGCAGAAAGAATGCAAGAACTATATTTATTTACTGAACAATGGAAAATAATTTACACACAATTGACCATATGCTGGGGAAACTATAGCATTTCATTTGGGGATAAACTGGCAAAAATGTGCATAGTTGAAACAGCAGTTTATATTTGGCCCCAAAATAAACTTTATGTGGCATCTGTTTGGTATCATGAGAGGAACAGTGGTATTATTGGTGCATGAGAATTGTACCATTTACAAAGAGCAAGCATTTGTCCTTCGAAGAACAGGGGAATGGTAACACATAAGTGCATACAGAATCATAGCTGTTTCTGGTACACTTCTCCCTCAACACTAATTTTGGACATAATTTAAAATGGTAAATCATCAAGCATTACTCCTGATGTTTAACTAACATGAGGATTTTGCATCACTATTGAATTTATACCCTATTTACATGAATTTGATGGAGTGTTCTAACTGCTCTTTTCACATATTTAGGACTTGATCCAAAACCCATAGAAATTAATTGGATACTTTCCATTGACTTCAACAGGTCTCAGATCAGGTCCCTAAAGTTCAGACTTGTGCTGCTACTCAGGCAGAATTCTTGCCAACTTTAATGGTTTTTGGTACTACAGATTACTCCTAATTTCTAAGGCTTTATACACATTCTTTTTGCAACACTGCTGTGACATAGTTATTATCATCTCTGCACTAAAATTTTGGCAGAGGTTAAAGGTTACACACCTAATTACCATTTAACACGTATAAGCTAAAGTTTAGATTTTTAAAACTCCTGCTGAGCTAACACTTAACTGTAGAGACATTTAGGGTTTCTATATATGTACTCTGGGGTTGGGGTGGATGGGTTTTAATGAGAGCGGTT